CTCTCAGGATCTCGGGCACGCACGCACACGCACCTGGTGTGAGTTTTAAGCCACCGGTCCGGGACGCGAACCGTGGTCGATTATGTGGGAGTCTAGCAACATAGCCATTATGTTAACTGCTGGCTCCCAAAAAAAGACAAAATTCTTAAAAGTGATTATAGCTACCACAAATTGTTAAGGCATAGGTGATATAAAATGATGCCAAGTACAGCATCCTAACTGCTGGCTCCCAAAAAAAGACAAAATTCTTAAAAGTGATTATAGCTACCACAAATTGTTAAGGCATAGGTGATATAAAATGATGCCAAGTACAGCATCAAAATTCAAAATGCAAGGTTGGGGGAAAATGGAGTTAAAGTACTGAGTTTCATTGTTTCTTCTCTGCTCTCTGTTTAGAATAACCAGGTATACCTGTAGGATGTTTTATGTAAAAGTCATGATGGCCCCAAGGCAAAAACCTATGCTAGATACACTAAAATTAGAACCAGAGATTCAAAAATTACTACTAGAGAAATTCAGGTGACCATAAAGGAAGATAGTAATATAGGAGTGGAAAAATGGAAAAAACAATCTTTAAAACAGCTAGAAATCAAATAAAAATGACAGTAGTGAAGCCTTACACATCAATAATGATCTTGAATGTGAATGGATTGAATTCTCCAGTTAAAAGACACAGGGTGGCTGAATGGATTTAAACAATAAATTAATTAATTAAAAAAGACTCAACCCTATGCTGCCTACAAGCATTTATCTGGTCTGTAAAGACACACATAGAATGAAAGCGAGGGGATGGAAAACACATTCCAAGCAAACAGAAAGCAAAAATAAGCAGGAGTATCTATAATTATATTAATTAAAATAGAAATTAAATCAAACAGGAAATAAAAAGGACAAGCTCATTACCTAATAATCAAAGGGTCAATTCAGAGACAGGATATAAGAATGGCAAATATGAATGTATCCAACACCAGAGCACCCAAATATATAATGCAAATAGATTAGATCTAAAGGAAGAAATAGACTCTAATACAGTAACAGTTGGGAGTTCAACGTCCCACTCTCAACACTGGACACAGCTTCTAGACAGAAAGTCAACAAAGAAACACCAGAAGATTGAAAAAGCATTATAGACCAAATGGACTAACGAACATTTACAGAATATTTCATCCAACAAAAAAGGAATGCACATTCTCTCAGTACGAAGAATAGATCACATATTAGGTCACAAAATAAGTCTCAAAAAATGTTTTAAAATCTGCCCCATACTTGGCATAGTTAGTAA